AATGAAATGTGCTGACTTGGATAGCCTATCAATAATAAACCACACTGCATCGAACTTCTTTGAGTCCATGGGAGTCCAACAACGAAGTCCATAGTGATACGCTCCCACTTCCACTCAGGAATCTCAATCTTCTGGAACAAACCACCAGGTCTCTAATGCTCGTACTTTACTTGTTGTCAATTCAAATATCTAGACACATATGCAACAATATCTTTCTTCATCCTCCTTCACCAATAATGTTGCCACAAATCCTGATACATCTTAGCGACGCCCGGATGAATAGAGTACCGGGATCTATAGGCCTCCTCTAAAATCAACTCCCGGAGCCCATCGACATTAGGCACACAAACTCAACCATGTAGCCCCAAAACTCTAGCATCTCCTAATGTAACCTGCTTGGCACCACCGTGTCCCTAAGGATACACAAATGAGGATCATCATACTGCCGATCTCGGATACGCTCCAATAAAGAATAACGGGTGATTGTGCAAGCTAACACATGGATGAGCTCAAAAACATCCAACCTCACGAACTGACTGGCCAAAGCCTGAACATCCAAAGCAAGCGGTCTCTCACCAACCGGAATATACGCAAGACTGTCCATACTGGCTGACTTCCTACTCAAAGCATCGGCCACATATTGGCCTTTCCCGGATGATATAAGATGGTGATATCATAGTCTTTCAACAACTCCAACCACCTCCTCTACCTCAAATTTAGCTCCTTCTGCTTGAACAAGTACTGCAGACTCTTGTGATCCATGAATACCTCACATGCCATGCCATATAGATAATGACTCTAAATCTTCAATGCGTGAATAATCGCTGCTAACTCCAAATCATGAACTGGATAGTTCTTCCCATGAATCTTCAACTGCCGTGAAGCATAAGCAATGACCTTTCCATCCTGCATCAACACCACACCAAGTCCAATACGAGGTGCATCACAATAAACTGTATATAGCCCTGAACCTGTGGCAAAACCAACATTAGCGCCGTAGTCAAAGTTGTCTTAAGTTTCTGAAAGCTCGCCTCACACTCGTCTGACCACCTGAACTGGGCACCCTTCTGGGTCAACCTGGTCATCGGGGCTGCAATAGATGAAAACCCCTCTACAAACCGACGATAATAGCCTGCCAAACCCAAAAATACTCCGGATCTTTGTAGCTGATGCAGGTCTAGGCCAGTCCTTGATTGCCTCTATCTTCTTTGGATCTACCTGAATACCCTCTATTGAAATAACATGACCAAGAAAGCAACAACTCAACTAGAACTCACACTTCAAAAACTTAGCATACAACTGACTATCTCTCAAAGTCTGGAGAACCACCCTCAGATGTTGCTCATGCTCCTCCTAGATGCGGGAATAGATCAAAATATCATCAATAAAGACTATCACGAACGAATCCAAGTAAGTCTTGAACACTCGGTTATCAAATCCATAAAATCTGCTAGGGCATTTGTCAACTCGAATGACATCACCAAGAACTCATAATGCTCGTACCGAGTGCAGAAAGTTGTCTTAGGAACATCGGATGCCCTAATCCTCAACTGATGGTAGCCAGATATCAATTCAATATTCAAAAATACCTTGTCACCCTGAAGCTGATCAAACAAATCATCAATCCTCGACAATGGATACTTCTTCTTGATTGTAACCTTGTTCAACCGCCGGTAATCTATACACATCCTCATAGATTCGTCCTTCTTCTTGACAAACAACACCGCCGCACCCCAAGGCGAGACACTAGGACTAATGAAGCCCTTATCAAGCAAGTCTTGCAACTGCTCTTTTAACTCTTTCAACTCAGGCGGGGCCATACGATACGGCATGATAGAAATGGGCTGGGTGCTTGGGGCCAAATCAATGCAGAAGTCAATATTCCTGTCGGGTGGCATCCCCGGCAGGTCTGAAGGAAATACCTTAGGAAACTCACGAACAATAGGCACATAATCCATAGAAGGAACCTCAGCGCTAGAATCATGAACATATGCCAAATAGGCCAAATACCCCTTCTCGACCATATGTTGCGCCTTCATATATGAGATAACACTACGGGTAGAATGACAAGGAGTCCCTCTCCACTCTAAACGAGGTAACCCCGGCAAGGCTAGGGTCACAGTCTGGGCATGACAATCTAAGATAGCGTGGTAAGATGATAACCAGGCCATCCCCAATATGACATCAAAATCAACCATGTCCAGAAGTAACAAATTTACTCTAGTCTCAAGACCCCAAATCATAACTATACATGAACGATGGACATGATCTACCATAATAGAATCACCCACCGGTGTAGACACATATATAGGAACACTCAAAGAGTAACTAGGCATGACCAGATATGATACAAAATAAGATGACACATACAAGTACATAGATCCTAGGTCAAATAGAACTGAAGCATCTCGATTACAAATCAGAACAGTACCTATGATAACTACATTGGAAGCCTCAGCCTCAGGCCTGGCTGGAAGAGCATAACAGCGGGGCTGGGCCTCACCACTCTGAACTACATCTCAGGGATGGCCTGCTGCATGCTAGCCTCCACCTCAAGCGACCTGACCTCCACCTCAAGCGGCCTGACCTCCACCTCTAGTACCTCTACCTCCACCTTTAGCACATCTACCTCCATCTCTAGTTGGTTGAGCGGGCTGTGGAACACTCGGTGCCTGAACCATGTCACGGGAACCCTGATGTTGAGAGCTTCTCAATGCTTGAGAAAAACATATAGCAATATGCCCCATATCACCACAAGTATAACAAGCCCTCAGCTGCTGAGAATCCTGACCCTGACAACCTGAATGACCACCCCAAAAACTCTAGAGCGGCGGTATACTGATAGGAGCTGGCAGTGCACTATAGGACTACTGATCAGAATATTGCATATGAGAACCACGACCACCTGAAGCATCATGAGAAACCTAATGTGCTGACTGAAAAGGCCTAGGAGATTGGCCTACACCATACGAATCCTTGCTTCCAGACGAGGCGCCACTGAATTTGCTTGAATGACAAGGCCTCTTATCATACTCCTGACCACGCCCTTGTGATAGAACCATCTCAACCCTTCTGGCCACATTGACCGCATCCTGAAAGGAAATCTCGCTCCATGTCTCCTTATCCATCTAAAGTCGAATAGGCTGAATGAGTCCCTCAATGAACCTCCTCTCTCTCTCTCTCTCTCTCTCTCTCTCTCTCTCTCTCTCTCTCTCTCTCTTAGTAGAAAGTATAAGAAGTGCATGACGGGCCAAATCAATAAACCTAGTCTCGTACTGAGTAACAGTTATAGAACCCTGCTGGGGACGCTCAAACTGCCTCCGATAGGTCTCCCTCTGAGTGATAGGGAGAAACTTTTCTAGAAATAGCTGAGAAAACTGCTCCCAAGTCAAAGTTGGTGACCCGGCTAGTCTAGACAAACAATAATCTCTCCACCAAGTCTTGGCAGATCCAGATAAGCAAAAAGTAGCAAAGTCAACCCCATTGGTCTCCATTATCCTCATGTTCCTGAGAACCTCATGACAGATGTCTGAATAATCATGAGGATCCTTAGAAGATGCACCGCTGAAAGTGGTAGTGAAGAGCTTGGTGAACCTGTCCAATCTCCACAAGGCATCAGTAGACATAACTGCTCCATCACCGATCTGAGCTTCCACGCCCAGCTGAATTTCTCCAACTAGCTGAGCTGCTAGAGTCTAAAACTGGGGAGTCATCTGCTCCGGAGTGCAAGTAGCAGGAGTTTGGGCTCCTCCTCAAGCCTGAGAGACGGTTTTCAATCTACTTTGTTTGTGTTGTGAAGGCTCTTCTCCTGAATGCGGAGGAGTAGAAGCACAAACAATCTCTTTCCTCTTGATCCTGAAATTGAAAGAACACATCATAGAAAGAGGAAGGAGTTGGAAGCTAGATACAAAACAAAAGGAGAGTTGGACATTCAAGTTTAACCACGGCCAACAGTGATGGCAGGTAACCAAGAACGTCCGGTGATAGAAGCAGCAAGGCCGAACCTTGCTAATATGACTCAAGCTATTATGAAGCCTAAAATCACCAGTCACTTTGAGCTTAAACAGTACATGGTGCAGCTGATACAGTCCACTGGGCAATATGTAGGTCTATCTCATGAAGACCCACAAAGGCACATTTAGAATTTTTTGGAAATAACGGATACTTACAACTATCCAAATGTTTCCAAGGATTATGTCAGGCTGACATTGTTTCCTTTTTCATTGTTGGGGGAGGTTAGAGAATGGTTGCAAAAGGAGACCGCTAATTCAATCCATAATTGGAATGATTTGGCAAAGAAATTCCTAATCAAGTTTTTTCCCCACTAAAAAGACAAAGTTTTTGTGGAGTCAGATTCTTGGGTTTCAACAACGTGATGGTGAAACTCTTCGCCAAGCTTGGGAAAGATACAAGAAACTACTTTGAGACTGTCCACATCATTGTCAAACTGATGAGGTATTGGGCCATAATTTTGTTGATGGATTAGACGAGACTTCCAAGATGAATCTTGATTCAGCTTGTGGAGGTAGTTGCATGGCGAGACCATACAGTGAAATACAACTTCTGCTAAATAACTTTACTGCTAATGATCATAATTGGCAAGGTGAAGGAGAACCAAGGAGAGCAATGAAACAAAAAGCAGGGGTACTTGAACTTGATGACATTTCCGCCATGAGAGCAGATATAGCAAAATTGGCAAATCAAATGACTAGAATGACAATGGGACCGATACAACAAATGCAGCAAGTTCAACCAATGTCAATTTGTTATGAAATGTGTGGTGACAATCACACGAGTGACATGTGCCCGTGAATCCTGAATCTATATATTATGTGAGGCAACAAAGCAGAAGTCTGATGAACCAACAAGCACAATATGGGAATAATTACAATCCAAATTGGAGGAATCATCCTAATTTCTCTTGGGGTGGGAATCAATCAAATCAGAATCAATTTAGACCCCAAGGAAATTTCAATCATCCTCAGAGACCTCCCTAACAAATGGAAGAAAGCACTAATGAACTATTAAAGAAGTTGTTGATTGACAATCAGCAGCTCAGAACTGATTTCACAAATCTTGAAAGGCAAATGGGGTAGCTAGCAACAAATCAGAACACTAGACCTGCAGGCACTCTCCCCAGTGATACAGAAAAGAATCCGCAAATAAATGTAGTTACACTTAGGAACGGAAGGGAGCTTGAGGAAGTTCCAAAGAAAAGGAAAGATAAACCCATACCTGAGGGTGAGTTGATCCCTAAAGTGACAAACGAGCCAGAGAAGACTGCTGAAATTCCAAAGCAAGTAGAGGCCCCAAGGCCACCACCACCTTTCCCTCAAAGATTACAAAAGAAGAATGATGATCGCATGTTCAGCAAATTTCTCTCCATGTTGATCCAGGTTCAATTGAATATTCCATTGGTTGATGTGCTTCGCTAAATCCCAAAATATTCTAAGTACATAAAAGACATAGTGGCTCATAAGAGAAGATTGACTGAATTTGAGACAGTTGCACTTACTGAGGAGTGCACTTCTAAGGTCCAAAATAAGCTCCCGCAAAATCTTAAGGACCCTGGCAGCTTTACGATTCCTGTGCGTATTGGTAATATTGATGTGGGTCGTGCTCTTTATGATTTGGGGGCAAGCATAAATCTGATGCCCCTGTCTTTGTTCAAACATTTGGGTCTGGGAGCTCCCAGGCCAACTACGGTGATTTTGTAGCTGGCTGATAGGTCAATATCACACCCTGAGGGGGTGATTGGAGATGTGTTGCTGCAGATCGGGAAATTTATCTTCCCGACTGATTTCATTATCCTCGATTATGAGGCGGATGAACTTGTCCCAATCATATTGGGGAGACCTCTCTTGGCTACTGGTGATGCAATTATCAAAGTGAGAGAGGGAAAGATGATCTTGAGGGTAGATGATGAGGAAGCAGTTTTCAATGTCTACAAAGCAATCCAACTTCCCTCTCACTATGAGGAGCTCTCAATGATATCCGTCGTTGAGGTTGATGAGCAGATTCGTGATGCAATTGTTTATCTAGACGATTCTCTAGAGAAAGCACTTATGTTGTTTGATAGCTTGGGGATTGAAGAGGAGGTTGAGGAGATGATGCACATCCTTGATACATCTTGTGCATACATGCAGGGGACACACCCCTTTGAACCCTTGAATAGACCAGAGGGACCTCCTCCAAAGCCGTCAATTGAGAAAGCCCCAAAATTTGAGCTTAAACCTCTCCCATCTCACCTGCAATATGCTTATTTGGGTGATTCTGACACCTTACCTATTATTGTTTCTTCTGACTTTTCTCAATTGCAGGAAGAAAAGCTGTTGAGAGTGCTACGTAAGCACAAGCATGCTCTGGGGTGGACAATGTATAACATTAAGGGCATTAGTCCAGCCTTTTGCATACACAAAATCCTCATGGAGGAGGGGAAGAATCCCAGTGTTAAGCAACAACGCCGACACAATCCAATGAAAGAGGTGGTAAGAAAAGAAGTGATTAAGTGGCTTGATGCAAGTATTGTATTTCCTATCTCTGAAAGCAAATGGGTAAGTCCCATTCAATGTGTCCCCAAGAAAGGGGGGATGACTGTGGTAGTAAATGAAAATAATGATTTAATCCCAACAAGAACTGTCACCGGGTGAAGAATTTGCATTAACTATAGAAAATTGAACAATACCACCCGGAAGGACCACTTTCCCCTCCCCTTTATTGACCAAATGCTCGATAGATTAGCTGGCCAGGAGTACTACTGCTTCCTAGATGGTTACTCGGGGTATAATCAGATTGCTATAGCTCCCGAGGACTAAGAAAAGACCACTTTTACGTGTCCTTATGGAACGTATGCGTTCACGAGAATGCCATTTGGTCTTTGTAATGCATCTGCGACTTTCCAAAGGTGTATGATGGCCATTTTCACTGACATGGTCGAGAGGTTTGTAGAAGTATTCATGGATGACTTTTCTGTTTTTGGATGCTCTTTTGATAACTGCTTAATGAACCTCGATAAAGTACTTGCTCGGTGTGAAGAGACTAACTTGGTGCTAAACTGGGAAAAGTGCCATTTCATGGTACGTGAAGGTATAGTTTTGGGACACAAGGTGTCCAAAGATGGTTTGCAGGTGGACAAGGCAAAGGTGGAAGGAATTGAAAAGTTGCCTCCACCAATATCTGTTAAAGGCATCCGCATCTTCTTAGGCCATGCAGATTTTTATCATCGTTTTATTAAAGATTTCTCGAAAATTTCCTCTCCCTTGTGCAGGTTGCTTGAGAAGGATGTCGCCTTTAAATTGATGATGCTTGTCTGAAGGCATTCGAGGAGCTGAAGGAAAGGCTGGTGACTGCACCTATCATAATTGCTCCGGATTGGGAGCAACCATTTGAATTGATGTGCGATGCAAGCGACTTGGCCATTGGAGCTGTTTTAGGGCAAAGGAGAAACAAGATCTTTCACTCCATTTACTATGCGAGCAAAACCCTGAATCTAGATCAGATGAACTACACTGTCACTGAAAAAGAGTTGTTGCAGTGGTATGGGCGTTTGACAAATTCCAATCATATCTTGTGGGGACCAAAGTCATCGTCTACACAGATCATTCAGCCATCAGATACTTGTTTGAGAAAAAGGACGCCAAGCCGAGACTGATTCGGTGGGTCCTACTGTTGCAAGAATTTGATTTAGATATCCGAGATCGTAGAGGAACAGAGAATCAAGTGGCTGGCCACTTATTCAGATTAGAAAATCGGAATCATGTGGCTGAAGGGGGTGTAATCACAGAAACATTCCCTGATGAGCAGTTATTGGCAATCACCTCAGGCACAACTCCATGGTACGCAGATTATGTGAACTTTATTGCAAGTGGGGTGACACCACCAGAATTGACACCAGATAATAGAAGAAGGTTCTTGCATGACGTGAGGCTCTACATGTGGGATGAACCTTTCTTATATAGGCTCTATGCAGATCAGTTGGTGCGGAGGTGTGTTCTTGAGGAAGAAATAAGTTCCATACTTCATAGCTGTCATGCCTCGCCATACAGGGGTCATCACGGTGGAGATAGGACCACTCAGAAAGTGCTACAATCAGGTTTCTATTGGCCGAAATTGTTTAAGGATGCACACGCCTTTGTTAAAATGTGTGACAGGTGCCAAAGAACCGGAACGATCACGAAGAAGCACGAGATGCCGCTGTAAAACATTCTGGTAGTGGAACTTTTCGATGTTTGGGGAATTGACTTCATGGGACCGTTTCCACACTCTAACAGTCATAGGTACATCTTGGTGGCAGTCGACTATGTGTCTAAGTGGGTGGAGGCCATTGCTCTTCCCACTAATGATGCAAAGGTGGTGGTAAACTTTGTCAAGAAGCACATTTTCACCCGTTTTGGAACTCCCAGAGTGTTGATCAGTGATGGAGGTACGCATTTCTGTAATAAACTATTGAACAACGTCCTTGTAAAATACGGGGTCAAGCATAAGGTCTCCATTGCTTATCACCCACAAACGAGTGGTTAAGTGGAGGTTTCAAACAGAGAGGTCAAGCAAATTCTTGAGAAAATAGTGAGTGCAAATAGAAAAGATTAGGCCGGGAAGTTGGACGACGCATTGTGGGCATATCGAACTGCATACAAGACTCTCATAGGTGATTCTCCGTATAGATTAGTGTATGGGAAGGAATGTCACTTACCCATCAAACTTGAGCACAAGGCCTATTGGGCGATAAAGAAGTTAAATATGGATGGGGACTTAGCTGGAGAGAAGAGGCTGCTGCAATTAGATGAGCTCGAAGAGTTTCGATTAAACGCATATGAAAATGCCAAATTGTATAAAGAGAAAACTAAGAGTTGGCATGACAAGCACATTCAAATTCGAGAGTTCGAGCCAGGGCAAGGAGTTCTTTTGTTCAATTCGAGGTTGAAGCTTCTTCCCGGAAAGCTTAAATCTCGTTGGTCGGGCCCTTTTGTTGTGGTAAGCGTGAAGCCTCATGGAGCTGTGGAACTGTGGGATATGAGTTCAAATGGAACCTTCTTAGTGAATGGTCAAAGGATAAAACATTACTGGGGTGGTGACTTTGCACGTCACAAGACCTCGGTGGACTTGAAGGATGCCTGAGAACAGGTTGAGTCGTGTCGCGATGTTAAATCAGGCGCTGCGTGGGAGGCAACCCATGAATGTGTTGTAAATATAGTGCATATGAGACTTGGCCTTTTCGAGGGACCAAGTCGAAAAAAAAAAAGAATCCCTGAACTAGCGCGACCGCGCATAGCCCGCGCTAAATGGGTTTCCGTCTGCCTCGCTTATGAGCAACTAGCGCGGGCGCGCTAATCCAGCGCTAGTGCCCGCGTTAAATGAGTTTCTTTCTACCTCTCAACTAGCGCGGCTGCACTAATCCAGTGCTAATGCCCGCGCTAGTCCAGGTAAGTCCGGTTCTTGAATTTTTTTTTTTTTTTTTACTT